GACTTTAGTAGACTCTGGAGCTGATATAAACTGTATAAGAGAAGGATTAATACCTACAAAATTTTATGAAAAAACTTTACAAACCCTAAGAACAGCCAATTTTGAAAAATTAAAAGTAAAATATAAATTGTCAAATGTCAGCATATGTAATAAGGGAACTTGTTTCAAAAATACTTTTATATTAACCCCTGATATTAGTGAAGAAATGATATTAGGAACCTCATTTCTAGCATTAATTTACCCTTTTGAAGTATCCGAACAAGGAATAAAACATAAAAACCTTCTATTCGAATTTATTAAACCAATAAAAAATAAAAAAATATAGTTAGTAAGCTGATGTAAATGAAGAAAACTTTCTATTAAAACTAGAAGCTAAAAATACTCATATAAAATATTTAAAACAAGAAATAGCACACAAAAGAATAGAAGAACAATTAAAAAATCCCGAAGTAATTACAACCTTTAAAAATATAGAACAAGAAATTATAAAAGAAGTATGTGCAGAAGTTCCTACAGCCTTTTGGAATAGACATACTTTTGAAATAGAATTACCCTATGAAGAAGGATATTTGGAAAAGAATATTCCTACCAAAACCAAACCAGTACAACTAAATAAAGAAACGCTAGAATATTGTAGAAGAGAAATAAAATCCTTTTTAGATAAAAAACTTATTAGACCAAGCAAATCTCCTTGGAGTTGTGCTTGCATTCTATGTGCAAAATGCCTCCGAAATAGAAAGAGGAGAACCGAGAATGGTAATAAATTATAAACCTCTAAATAAAGTTTTAAAATGGATTAGGTACCCTCTACCTAATAAATATGAATTAATAAGTAGAATTTATAATGCCACTATATTCTCTAAATTTGATATGAAAAGTGGATATTATCAAATCAAAATAAAAGAATTAGATAAATATAAAACTGCTTTTATCGTACCTTTTGGGCAATACGAATGGAATGTAATGCCTATGGGTTTAAAAAATGCACCATGAGAATTTCAAAAAATAATGAACGATATACTAAATCCTTATTCAAAATTCGCTATTGTCTACATAGATGATGTATTAATATTCTCCGAATCAATAGAACAACATAAAAAACATTTAAGAATATTTAAAAATATTATAAAAACTAATGGAATGGTAATATCACAAAAGAAAATAAAATTAGCCCAAACCAAGATTAGATTTTTAGGTCATGAAATAAATCAAGGGACGATAACTCCTATTAAAAGAAGTATTGAATTTGCAGAAAAATTTCCGATGAAATAAAAGACAAATTGCAATTACGAGAGATTTTTAGGATGCTTAAATTACGTATCAGAATTCATACCTAATATTAGAATCTTATGTAAACCTCTTTTTAATAGACTAAGAAAAAATCCTAAACCTTGGAACCCAGAAATGACTAAAATAGTAATAGAAGTCAAAAAATTAGTCAAAACTCTACCATGTTTAGGAATTCCTAATCCAGAAGCAAAAATAATTATAGAAACTGATGTCTCGAAATAGGATACGAGAGGAATATTAAAACAACATTTACCCAATACTCCAGAACAAATAGTACGCTATCACTCAGGAATATGGAATGAAGCCCAAAGAAATTACAGCACCATTAAAAAGGAAGTTTTAAGCATAGTTTTAAATATACAAAAATTTCAACATGACTTAATAAACAAAATTTTTTTATTAAGAATTGATTGTAAATCGACAAAAGAAGTTTTAGAAAAAGATGTAAAAAATATAGTTTCAAAACAAATATTTGCAAGATGGCAAAGTCTATTATCTTGTTTTGAATTTGACATTGAATTTATAAAAGGAAAAGAAAATTATATACCAGATTTTCTAACAAGAGAATTTTTGCAGGGCCATAACCATGGCAACTCCCTCTAAAAAACCAAATACCCCTGATAAAAACAAACCAGAAAATACTCAGTCATCTGCATTGTCTCTAGATGACTTTGCTCCATCATATTCAAAAACCATAACCACCCGAAAACTTCCTACCTCCATAACTACTCTCCCTAACCGATTTACTCCATTAACCCCACAAAAAGCTCAGAATATTTCTCCAGAAATAACCCCGAAGAAAGAATTTCATATAAAAAAAGGATGTCAAAAGATAATCACTCTAGAAGAAAATTGGAATACAGAAGATGTATATGGAATACTTAAAAGACTAGCTCCATCAGGATGGAGTTGGATTCCCAAATCAGAAAATCTGAAGAAAACCAAGAAATTCTATCAATTCATTTTGATAGACACCGGATCTGCTGAAATAACTCATATTCCTAATGATAGAGATTCCTCTATTATTAGCTACTCTAAATTAAGAATTATCAGAATAATTTCCTACCCAGAATGGAATCAACATCCATTCACAGATAAGAGTTTTTCGAGGCCCTTTGACCCCCCTATCTTATAATTACTTTGATTATCAAGAAGCCTGAAACAAAATACTTTTTGACACCAACCCTAGGCATTCTTGGTACATTTGTTTCAAAAAAGAAATACCCAACTCATTACCCAATTGGTTTATTGACTGGTTTAACCAGATAGGACCAGTTCAGTCAATAATCCCTGAAAAAGTCATGAAAATATATCAAAAATACAAAACCCTTACTCCTCAATACCCTCCATACCTTCGAATAATAAAATTTTGTTCAACCATGGGAATAAGCTGGCTTTTGGCCCACATTCCCGAGGTCCATCAGCATAAAGATGAAAATTATCCAAAAATCCTGTGCTTAAAAACCAAGGTTTTTTGGTGGAAGAAATTTGAAGTCCAGTATGTGGAAGAAAAATTCGAAAACTGGAAGAAAATGGGCCTCAAAGGCCCAATACGAAAAGAAATACCCGCCATAAAAGAAAAAGGAAAATCTATTATAGATTTATCACAACTCCCATCCTCAAAGCTTGAAAAGGCTCAACTAAAACTAAAAATGCTCGAAGCCTTATCCTCTTTAGGATCAGATGAAAAAGAAGAAGAAGAAACCATCAGCAATATCCAAGACGCACAAGATCCATATGAAGAAGAAGAAGTTGATTTCAATCAGTTCTAGCAATTAATTCATCCAACAAAAGAAGAAATACAAAGAAAAATTCATGATATTATGAAGAAATTAGAAGATGACCCACAAGAAATATCCTTTTAAATAGCATCTCAGTAAGAAGTTGGGCTTATCAGGCCCATCGCCCAAAGGATGCTAAAGCTATCTCTTTCAGAAGAAGAATCAATGGATTCCCTAGGGGCTCCACCAAGTTGAAAAGTCAGAAGTAATTTTGTTTTTAGCGTTGGCCACCGAAAGTAAAAGGTATGCCAGTTGTAATTACAATTGTTTTTAGTATAGGTGTCTCTTGTAATTATGTCTTTGGTCGGCCACTTGTTAACAGTGTGCCAGTTGTATAATTGAATAGGAACCTCTGAAGGTCTATAAAAGAGTCAGTTGCTAAAGTAGAATTTACAGCTCTCTTAGAGCCTTAAACTCTACATTCCTCGACCAACTCCTTCATAGCCTAAGTTCCCCCTTCCCTTCTCTCCTCATCGAATATTGAATATTGTAAGCATAATTTTCATATATAATATCTTCTTCTCTTCTTTATTATTACTTCTTTGTTCTTCCGCTTATATATGCTTGAATTTTCATTATTTTATAATAAATTCTGTATATTATATATATATATATATATATATATATATATATATATATATATATATATATATATATAAGTTTTTCTTCACTATAATAATTATAAATGGAGCAGTTAATTCAGTTTGTTTTCAACCGCTTTCCTTTAAGGTTCGACTCTGAATCTTGTTTAGAAGTACAATGGTTTAGGGTTTATGATAAAAGAAATATATATTTTCTAAATTATGCTGTTATATACTAAAATTTTATATTATTTTTATACATAAATTAAAGTTATTCTTATATTTTATATTTATTTTTTATTCAAATCAAAATGCCAAATATAATCATAAATGTTGGTTGATAATTTTATTAATGTGTTATATTATAAATTTATATCGAATGGATTTTCAATTCAGTGTAATATATTAACATGTAATTTACTTATCAATGTGTTACATTTTATAAATCTATATTGAATGGATTTTCAATTCAGTGTGACATATTAACATGTAATAGACTTATGATAAAGTATTTACAGTGTTATAGTCTACTACAAAAATAAATTTTCTTTAAACTTATAAAGTACAAGTAAGAAATTTTTGAAAAAAGTTGTGGCAAAAAATAGATTTAAATAATGATTTCTGAAAATAAATATTTAGATAATATTCCTTGTGATATTTAATATAAAAAACATATAATAATTAATTTATCAAAACCAATAAAAGTAATTCAGTGTTTTCTTTAAATTAATAATGTCAAAAAAAATTATTTAAAAAATATAATTAAAGTAAAATAAAGAAATAGTCATAATATTTAAAAACACTATAAAAAATTTAATGGATATATTTTTTACCAACAGGTTGCGTATATTATTAGGGGTTTTACAGTATAGATAAGACTTAGTTTTTCTTTTTATATTTTTAAATATATGTCAATGTTTTAAAAATTGTTAACCGTATAATACATTCATACATTTCTAGTATCTTTTTGTAAGTGCGGTAGAAACTTGACTAAACCAGATTTGGGCATCCAAAGATGAAATCTATCAAATAAACTTGTACATTGATTTCTATATATGCAGAGTAGGTTTGTGAATGCTTAAGGCAAGTATCCAGCACAGCAAAAAAATCAACACAAGTTCAAAGAAAATTCCAAGAATATGGAATAGTAAAAGGTGATATAAATTTTCCATAAACTTGAATAAACACAAGGATAATATAAGGGTGATCTAAGGTCCAATAGAGTCAAAATTGATTTAGAACTAAAATTCAGACCCCACCACAATAATCATAAAGCAAATCTCAATCAACTTTCTAGAACAAGATCCACCAGTAACCAAAAATTATCATGAACTTTGCCAAACTATAACTACTGTGAAGAAACCACCATTTGCACATCATCATCATCTGTTCCAAAGTACCTATCTCCGAACTCTCCCATGCCTGGTATGACACGGAAATCTTCATTCAAACCGATCTCAATCTCAGATGTTACTATCTTTATTCTTGGAAAACTTTTGCATACAACATGCACACCTTTAGGTGCCTGAAAAGATGCGGAGATAAAATGAAAATTATCTAAACCACACAATAACAGAGAGGAAAAAAAGCTAGAGGATGTATGACATTGGTAACTTACAGATATGAGATTAAGAAATATAATGTTGGATTCAGGTACACCTTTTCTTATGAGTAAAGAAATTGCTTCAACAGCCGAATTGCCTAGGATGAAAATGTTCAAAGGTTAATTCAATGAAAACCAGCAAAACCAAATATCAGTTTCTTCTTAAATCTGCCCTTGAACATTGTAGTGGCAATAGGCAGCACAAACTTGCAACTTCAAACCAGAGAGAATGACAAACCTGTGCCAAGTATAGGGTCCAACAGTAACACATGCCTGTCTGAGATATCATTTGGCAACTTTTCATATATTAGCTGCTCGTTGGTCAAAAATAAGATATCAGGGTCAAGAAATGAAACAGAGATTTGTACTAAAGCATACATGCAGATGGACAAACCTGTTGACCATTGTCACCTTCTCTGTGAATTAGAATTTTCCCAATCTTGATACCTTTGCAGCATGCTCTCAAAGCATTCTCCATGCTCTCCCCACTGAAACGAGAGCATGTTAATTATGATAACAGAAAATGAATTTCCAAACAATAGATTATAAACTGCGGATATACAGGTTCACATCAATCCCATTCTTTAAGACATGACACCAAATGCAACAAAATCAACAAAAGACTTTTTATATTTATTGAATAATTCATGATTGATTAAAAAAAGACAGTTTATTCAATACTTCGAAGTAAGGATGAAAATATCAAGTCAAATATCTAATTGACTCCAGCTTTGGACTAGAGTAATACCTTCTGATAACAGAGACACCACACAACCTTTTGCAAAAATCAACACCAGTGTATACAGAACCTGCATGAGAGGACAAGAATCAACAGTTACCATAAAAAAGTTCTAATGTTAACAAACCAACTCTTTTAGGTAAATAGAAGAACAAATATGAAAAACCACATGGAAAAATATGCTAAGTATGGCAATTGTTCACTTAACATCATGCAAAATATTTCAAGTACTGCAACATGACAGATATTTGGTTCACACTATCAGTAAAAGGTTCTTCACATGGAAGCCAAAATGCAGGAAGTATGTTTCAACATGGAGTCATAAGGTAGAACATCATGTCATCATGCCATGATTTCATATCAAATGGAGGCATGAAACAGTAAATCATTAGAAGGCATAGAAGAATGCTGAAATTATTGGTTTGACTTCTAATACAGAAACAAATTTCAAGAGTAGATACGCGCAAGCAAATGATAAAAAAAAACAGAGTAACTTTGTATTTATTATAAAAAGAAAAACTACTTTTAGAGAAAAAATCCTCTAAAGTCCCAGAGTCAAACTCCGAATAGAGAAACGCTCTTCCTCTACCTTAGACATAGCCAAAATATTCTCTCCCCCTCTCCCCCGCTGATTCATGATGATATAAACAGAAAGGTAATAACAGAAAGAAACATTCATTCTCTCTCCTCCAACAAACTCTCAATACCCATTCTTCCTAATTTGCCCTCTTCTTCCTTCGAGTGTAGACAATCAATTTTTTTGGGCCTTTTGCTGATATATCTGCTAAAATTTCTTGCGGCCCAATGTTCTCCTGAACCTTATCAATGCCATCCCCTATAAGAAATTGCTTGTCCTCAAGCTTCAGTTCTGGGAATTGACTTCTCAGAATCAACTCATCCTCCCAGGTAGCTTCTTCACTTGATTTTCCCTTCCAACTCACCAACCATTGCGTCACCCTCCTTCCTCCCTTAGAGGTCTTCCTCACAGCTAGCACATTTTCTGGTTCAGTTATCTCCCCATCTCCTACCTCCAAATTGAGAGGTAATTCAGCTTCTACTGAGTGAATTCCATGTGCCTTCTTTAATAGTGACACATGAAAAACTGGGTGAATCCTTGATGATGATGGCAACTTCAAACGATATGCAACCTCCCCAATCTTTTCTAAGATCTCAAATGGACCATAATAACGGGCACAAAGCTTAGGGTTGATTCTAGCAACTACTGATGACTGCCTGTGAGGTCTTAGTTTGAGAAAGACCATATCTCCTATTTCAAAACTCCTTTCTTTCCTGTGCTTATTAGCTTGGTTCTTCATCCGATCCCTTGCCCTCTCCAAATGGTACTTTAGTTGTTTAATTGCCTCATCACGATCCCGTAAATCCTCTTGCACAGCTTCCACCCTTATTTCACCAGGAACACTCTGCACCAACATTGGAGGCTTACGTCCATAAACAGCTTCAAATGGTGTAGTACCAATTGACTCATGGTAAGTGGTATTGAACCAATATTCTGCCCAAGGTAACCACATAACCCAACTCTTAGGCTGGTCAGAAATGAAGCACCTGAGGTATGTTTCTAAGCAACGGTTAGTCACCTCGGTTTGACCATCCGTCTGTGGATGGTAAGCCGTACTCATCTTTAACACTGTGCCTTGCATCCTCAAAAACTCTTTCCAAAATACACTCATAAATAATGGATCTCTATCACTGACAACAGACATAGGAATTCCATGCAAACGCACCACTTCCCTCACAAAGATTTCAGCTAGGGACCTGGCCGTATATGGATGCTTCAACGGAATGAAATGACTGTACTTAGATAATCTATCAACTACTACCAAAATAGCTTCGTAGCCTTTGGATCTGGGCAGGCCAGTAATGAAATCAAGGGATATATCTTCCCATATCCGCTCAGGAATAGGAAGTGGTTGCAACAATCCCCCTGGGGTAGAAGTAAGATATTTTTGACGTTGACACACATCACAATCCTGAACAAATTTCATTATATCTTTTCTCATTCCTACCCAAAACAAGTTTGCAGCTACACGTCTATACGTTCGAAAGAACCCAGAATGCCCACCCTGTGGGGTTGCATGGAACTCTTGGATTAATCTAGGAATCCAATCAGACTTGTTAGGGATCACTAACCTGTTCTTATAACACAGGACTCCATGCTTATAATTAAATCCACTTTTCTCACACTGCCCCTGTTGTAATTCCTCTATTTTTTTCTTCCACAATTCATCTCCATGAACTTCAACGACTATCTCCTGCCAATCTAACCAGATAGGCATGTAAACCATTGAAGACAACTCTCCCATACTCCTTGACAGCGCATCTGCCCCTTTATTTTCCAACCCGGGTTTATATATAATTTCAAAATTGTACCCCAATAATTTGGCCAACCAGTTCTGTTGACTTCCAGTAGTTACCCTCTGTTGTAACAACTGTTTCAGACTCTTTTGATCTGAATAAACTACAAACTTCCTTCCTAACAAGTATGGTCGCCAATGTTGAATAGCTAAAGCTACTACCATCAGCTCTTTTTCATAGGCAGACTTATCTAAATTTTTACTCCCCAACGCCTTACTATAGTAAGCTATTGGTTTACGATTCTGCATCAATATAGCTCCAATTCCCATTCCTGATGCGTCACACTCCAACTCAAACTCCTTGTCAAAATTAGGTAAGGTCAAAACAGGTGCTGTTGTAATTCTCTTTTTTAACTCCTCAAATGCTGCCTGAGCCTTTTCATTCCACCCAAATCCTTCTTTCTTTGTTAATTATGTCAAAGGTTTCGCCACCTTTCCATAATCCTTAATAAATTTCCTATAGTAACCTGTTATTCCCAAGAAACCACGGACACCTTTTACATTTGATGGAATAGGCCATTCAACAATACTCTTGACTTTGTCTGGATCCACCTCCACCCCTTGCTGTGTTATAACATGTCCTAGATAACCAATGCTCTCATGACCAAAACTACACTTTTCCATATTTGCATAAAACTGTTGTTGCCTCAAAATTTCCAAAACAGCTTTTAGTTCTCTCATATGCTCCTCCCAACTTTCATTATATACAAGTATATCATCAAAAAATACTAACACTCCACGCCTTAATAAACCACGAAATACCTCATTCATAAGAGATTGGAATGTAGCAGGAGCGTTCATTAAACCGAAGGGCATGACTAAGTACTCATAATGCCCTTCGTGTGTTCTAAACACTGTCTTTGGGATGTCTTCAATCTTCATCCTCACTTGGTGATACCCAGATCGAAGATCCAATTTGGAGAAGTATTTTGCCCCATTCAACTCATCTAAAAGTTCTTCTATCACTGGGATCGGGAATTTATCTGGCACAGTTGCTTTGTTCAATGCGCGATAGTCCACGCACATCCTCCATTTATTATTTTTCTTCTTAACCAAGATGACAGGACTTGAGTACTCACTTTGACTATGCCTTATCCACCCATTCTCCAATAGTTCTTTCACCTGCCTCTCAATTTCATTTTTCTGATTATACGGGTACCTGTAAGGTCTAACATTAACTGATGCTTCCCCTGGTTTTAATATAATTGCATGTTCCTTTACCCTCACTGGTGGGAGTCCTCTTGGCTCTTGAAAAACATCATCAAAATTCTTTAGAATCTCCTGAAGTTCCAACTGTTTTGTCAGGTCCACCCCACATAATTTTTGTTCACTCTCTTCATTCAAGATTCCTTGAAGAGAGGTAAGTAAAGGTTCCTCATCAGAAATTCCCTTCAGTGTCTTTAAATTTCCCCCTTTTTCAAATTTCATCACTTTCTTGGCCCAATCAATCTTCATTTCCCCCAAAGAACGTAACCAAGACATACCCAAAACGACATCAATATCTCCTAATTCAAAAAGAACGGCATCAATAGTGAAACTCCCAGCCTCTGTTTCTACTTGAATATTTCGACACATACCACTAGCTTCAGCTTTGTGACCATCCCCCATTAAAATTCTCATCGTTTTAGTAGACTCCCACTCCCAACCAAGAGCTTCCACCAACCTCTTTGAAAGAAAATTATGGGTCGCGCCACTATCAACCAACAATAAAATAGGGATGCCATCCACCGTTCCTCTGAGTTTCAACGTGCTAGGAAAATCTGTTCGGTTGGTGTCCAAACCTGTTAGAGCCAAAACACTGCACTCACCCTCCAAAATGACATATTCATCCTCATTCTCGTCGTCATCACAACCTTTTTCCTCCTCACACTCCACTTGGATCTCATCATTTGCAAGAATGAGTCTGAGTTGCTTAATTGGGCATTGATGTAGTGGCCCATAGGGACCCCCACATTTGAAACATAACCCTTTCTTACGCCTTTCCAACAAGTCCTGGTATGCTAAATGTTTCGCACCTCTATCACGAGACCCATTAAAATTTCTTTCTCCACTTTTTTTTTCATTTGGGCCAGGCCCATTAGTTCCTACTTGTGGAATTACACTTTTAATGCCCCCACGACCTGTATTACTCCCATGGGTCGTCTGTCCCGATCCAAAACCAGTCCTTTGCCATCCACTAGACCCGCGTGCAAATTCTGCTTCAATTGCCCTCCTCGTATTCATCAAACGACCACGCGTCAATGGTGTTGCCATGTGCAGGCTTCTCAAACGAGCACGAATATCCTCTCTCAACCCATTCATGAAGTACGCAAAATATTGACCATCCAACAATCGTGGTACTTGCGTAATCAAACTCTCAAAGCGGCTAATGTACTCCTCCACCGTTCCCGTCTGATGTAAAGCAGTCAACTGCTCAAACACCGTACCTTCTTCAATTCCACCATATCTCTCTAGTAGTTCCTTCTTCAAATCCTCCCAGGTCAACTCATCATAATCTCACAGCAAAGAATTAAAGAAGTGAATGGTGCCATTCTCCATACAAATCTGTGCTAAACTCATCTTCACCGCCTCACTCGTATTTTGGACTTGGAAGTAGATTTCTGCTCGAGAAATCCATCCTGCTGGATCCTCTCCTGTAAATGCAGGAAGCTCGATTTTCTTCATCGATTGTCGAAATTCTTCCAGAGTTTCTCCTTCGAGTGACTTCCCTGCAATACTCGACTTCTCTGGTCCCTCCTTTGATTTCTTCCCTCGTCATTCGTTTCTCACAGAATTCTCACCATCTTCTTGATGATTCTTGCCCAAACTCTTCGTGAACAGCTCAAGCAATTTCTCTTGATTTGCAGCAATGGTGTCTTGCTTCGTGGTCTGTTTCTCCAATTGTTCCCTCAAAACCTCAACGGAGGCTTTAATCTTCGATAGCTCACTCTCCAACGATGCTACACGATTCTCCATTCCAGAATCCTCTTCCGCTGGTTTCTGGCTTCCCTGCTTCCTTGTTTGTGCCATTTACTAGTCTAACGTATCCGGCAGGTCGGACCAATAATACAAAAACAAATTTCAAGAGTAGATACGCGCAAGCAAATGATAAAAAAAAAACAGAGTAACTTTGTATTTATTATAAAAAGGAAAACTACTTTTAGAGAAAAAATCCTCTAAAGTCCCAGAGTCAAACTCCGAATAGAGAAACGCTCTTCCTCTACCTTAGACATAGCCAAAATATTCTCTCCCCCTCTCCCCCACTGATTCATGATGATATAAACAGAAAGGTAATAACAGAAAGAAACATTCATTCTCTCTCCTCCAACAAACTCTCAATACCCATTCTTCCTAATTTGCCCTCTTCTTCCTTCGAGTGTAGACAATCAATTTTTTTGGGCCTTTTGCTGATATATCTGCTAAAATTTCTTGCGGCCCAATGTTCTCCTGAACCTTATCAACTTCAATAGATAATTTTAGAACCTCTACCAAGACTAGCATTTAAGGGATAGGATAACGGAAATTTAACACCAAAAAAATACACAAACTAAAATTGTAGCCATAGTAATTTGTGACAATACACCCAATGTATGGTATCCACAACAATTTGCAACGAAAGCAGAGAGATAGACGCATGTACAACAGCAATAAAAAACTAGATATGGTAGTCAACACATTCATCTAAATCTTTCTGCCACAAAGATAGGAAAGAAAAAATTAGCACATAAAACTCATTTATCACAATAATCATACAAAGAAGGTGTTGGAAAATATAAAATTACCAGTGGGAGTGACTACTTGCTTTTCTGTAAATGGCAGATGCCCCAAACCATGTTCTACAACCTGGTCAAGTTCAATTATTACGATGTCTTCTTGTCATTGAATTCAGAAACAAAAACAAACTTGTGAACTTACCAATCGAATCAGACGATCAGAGTAAAATACAAAATCATGCTTTGTTGTTTGAGCATCACGTATCAGGGTATGCATACCCCGTATCTGCATAGTAGCAATTATCAAGATGATTTAACTTAAAAGTAAAAATCACAGATTAGTGTGTTCTAAGTGGGATGAGTGAAAAGGTCCATAATTAAAGGGGTACCTGAAAAGTTGATTGAATAACATATAAATTCGGATATATTTTACACAGGTCATGCTGACCTAGCTTAGTGCGAATATGTTGAACAATCAAATCAATGGCCACATGATTATCTCCTCCACGGGGTATAATTATATCAGCATACTTCTTTGTTGGAAGTATAAAGTCATCAAAAGCTGGTTTCACAAATTTTGAATACTGCAACAAATATTGCATAAGAATCAGCTGCGAAATATCCATTAAAAGGTTAACATTAACCATGAAAATCTGATGAAGCATATGATAGCTTGACAAATATTTATAAATGAAAAGAATCCTTAATGACTTAATTCCATAAAGTACAAATGATCATATGTTTCTATTTTAAGGAATTTGCATATTAACCAAACAGTAGCATGAAACTTAAAATAAGATTTCCAAAGTCTTGCAATGAAGTAAATATAACAAGGTGAAAAGAAGAAAGAAATAGTCAAAATATGTTATGTAAATGGTGTGGCAGAAAGTTACTACCTGATCAAGAACTGCTCCAATATCCCGACCCTTCTCATTGGTGTCACGCCTAATCCTTCTTGCCAATCGAACATCAGCATCTGCACTGGATATTTTAAAATGTAAAGTGACAGCTTAACTCAGTATTTCAACAATGACACATAAGTAAAGTTTAATAAGTAGAAGTTGGAATTGAATAACAATTTAAAATCAATCGAACAACAGTTTACATACAAGCTTAGAAAATAACTTGAAGATACACATAATAACTTTTTACTTTAGAAAGTAGTTTAACCCTAAAAAAACCTGCTCAGAAGGTGAGGGCCGCCCTAGTTATATGCTGATGAGTGATCCTTTTAGTGAATCTATAATCGGCTCTAGTATCATCTTACAAAGTGAATCAAGCCTAACTCAATCTTACAAAATAAACTTATAAAGTATGGGTTACCCCAACTTATATATAGTATTTTGACATTACCTCTAGTCAATGTGGAACTCGGGGTTTTTTTAATATAATAAAACAATAAAGAATCAACAAATAAATGAAAAAAAAAAAAGTTACAACATGAAGATGGATCAAAGTTTAAAATTATAGGCTCATAGTACCCCAGACCCTTAAAATTTCTTAATTGATATGCAGCAGTATGGAGAATATGAATTTGCTTATATCATAATGTGCATTACTGGGGAAGGGGAAACACTAATTCCAGGAGATGAAAGTAAATGAATCTAACAACATATCCCATATAAATTAACAAATGCAACATAACTTACTATAAATAAATTTTAAGTTAAAAATGGAAAATAAAGGACCTGTGTCAACAAATATCTTCATATTCATCAACTCCCGGATGCGTGGATCATGGAAAACAAGGATGCCTTCCAAAATTATAACATCTGAAGGGTTCACCTGATTATCAAGTACAAATATTTTATACTTGTTTTTTGCACTAAAAGAAGAATGTATGATATTTGCAACTTCACAAGTATTACATTACTTATCTTAAGATGTTTAGCATTTTAACAAAACGGTGAAATTGCTAATATAAACAGAAGTTTCATGGATATACCCTTCTTAACACATCACTCTTGTATGTCTTAAAATCATACTTCGGAATATCTACTGCTTCACCATGCTTCAACTTGTCCATAACCAGAAGCAATTGCTCAGTATCAAAAGCATCTGATTAGATATAAGAACATAAGTACAAGAATATTAACAAAATTAAAATATTAATATTTTTACTCGTCTTGCTACCCAATCAATTTTCAAAAATATTTTAAGAGAACGAAAAAGTTGGGCACTCTATAAAAATATTATTACATTGTCATCCAATCACAAACATCTATAAATGGTAAGTTTGTTGACTTTTACAAAATCACCTCAAAAGTCATATTAACATGATTTGTGATTGGATAATAGGGTAAAACTATTTTCCACAGTCAGTGCATGATCATTAACTATTATTTTAATTCACTAAGCCGTAGCTTTAGTTAACAAGTTCATAATTAGTTTACTACAATGACTAAAACATGAGTGAACACAAGTTTTGGACCTTCATTCTCAAAAGTAAAAATGCATTTTAATAAAAAGAGAGAAGACCATACAATATTCCATTTATAATACTTTAGTATGAAGAGAAAGTCAGTAATGACAAAGAAGTGTACTAGAACTGACCAGGATGGTCAAAGTTGTAATCCTGAACTCGTGTAAGATCCTCCTCGGAAAAGTTATTGTAAAAGGAATCCTGTTATAAATAGTTTATTTATTATGCTCAATGTATAAGTACAATAAGAAACATATAGACCATCATAAACATGGCAACAAAAAAGAAGTCAAAAGGAAGGAAAAATTAATAGAATGAATATAGACATAATTAATGATATTAATGGCAAAGAAATAACACACAGAGTACAGATAGAAATAATTCAATACCTGATTAACAAGTACAACTCGTTGATCATGAAGCTGTTGAATAATCATATCACAAACTGCTGTCTTGCCAGATGCTGCACCCCCAGCAACACCTGCATCATAGTGCAAAAATAAGTAAGTTAGAATTATTAAGATAAAAGAGAAGCTGTAAGAATTGAAGGCAAGGCATCCAAACTTAGCATCTTGAGGTATAAAACAAGTTATATCTATTAACATAACATGCTATTTAATTGACAGAATTTGCAAAAGCATAAAAGAACCATGTAACATTCATATTATTTGAAATGATATTAAGATGCTAGAAATTCAGAGCCATATATCAGATGCTATGTAGTTTAATTTAATGACATTCTTTTAATAACTCCAGCAAGATGAGTTTGTGATTTATTTTCAAAGCAGACAATAATTCTGACCTGAGTAGGTCAATTTTCATACAAAGACCCAGGTTTCAAGTCAAGAAACTCATTTATTTCAACTAGTACAAAATTGTGCTTTAACAGTAGTGATTTTGTTCATTGACTCTGTAACAGAACTCAAGGCTTCATGTGAATTTATTTGGCAGTTTGCCACAAGAAAACACACCTATGACAAAAGGTTGTTTATACATGTCAGTTTCCGAGGTTGTCGGTTGTTCTATGCTAGCCTTTCTTTGCTCAAAACCATCCATGTGAAATCCAGAAAAATGAACCTCATTAGAAGACTCCATTAATTCTACAGCCGACTTAGCATCCATTGACAAAGGCCTGGAAAAAAATAATAATTAAAAATACAGATAGAGAAATGAATATAGAAACAAAAAAAAAGTCACCAGACTACTCTGCATCTAGTATGAGTACGTATAGCAAACACATTAACAATCTTTTAACCAACTTGAAGATAGGAGTTTATATAGTTTGTCACCATCTAAAGAGGGATTCATTTTAAGTTTTACAACAACTTGTAAATGTGAACGATTGGATCAAGTCAACCAATTTAGCCTTTGGTACTTTTAGTCACTGTTATTTTTTAATAAAAGACTAAAGCTGCTTCTTCTTTTTTCTTTTTTGCATATCATTACTTAGCATTGACTAAATTAGACTACAGTAGCATGTCATTTCCTTTTGTCTTCCACTGTCATTACAGATTGAGATTCTGCGGGACACCCATTTTTGGACCTTCGTAACTTTGATACCATATTGAGTATTTGCATATTATCTAAGGCTTTCAAAGCATACATGTATATACCAAGGGAATCCAAAGGTTTAGACCTCCCAACACATTTTCATAAATCTCCCCAAAACCCTATGAATAGGCTAAGCACCCCCAATTCCTCAAGTATAACAAGTTATACGAGTCACTAACACTTTACCCTAGTCGATCATATATAGATAAGAGTAAACACTAAACCACCAAACACATCATATTACTTTCCAGCATATTCATCAAACACAAAATTATGCTCACCGGCTCATGAAAATCCTTTCAACAAAGTAGCCAACGAGGATTCAAGTTCACTTACCAAATGAACAAAACATTTATAATAGTCAGAAATAAAATAGGGAGAAACACACCGATGCAACTAACAACCCTAAAAAAGAAAAAAAAAAAAAAAAAAAAAAACTAGCTTTATGCTCAGCCACTTTACCACTGAGCAAAAAACAGACACCCCAGAAATCACAGCCCAAATTCTGTAATGGTTTTTCCACAAACAAATCCAGATCCAAGAAAAAGAAGAAATAAAAAAGCCAAATATTTTAATTGCATAATTCATCAAAATTGAACCCCAAACACAATCCAAGCAATGCATAGAAAGAATAACAGTAGTACCAAAAAGTCAAATGTTGATTCCTAACATACCTGTTGAGTAGAAGAATTTGCTAAAAAGGGAAGGTGTAGCAAAAGGTTGAGTTATTTATTGCAACCAGACAGACATAAGTCAAGTATAAATGCTTTTGTGCAATCCCTTTGTTTTGGTTTGGTTTATATACACTTGTTGTTGACAAATGGACCCCATTTTTTCTACAAAATTACCATCTTCACCTACCAATCAAATTTTATTTTATTCTCATTCTGATTCCAGTTCCATGAAATTCATAACCTTTTAGAAATGATAAATAATGAAATACTCATTTTTTCTTTCTTTCTTTCTTCATCCTACCATATTATTTTGTTACTGTAGAAATTTCACCCTTTTTTTTGAAAGATTCGGTATGCGTGTATGCACACATTGACGTAAAGTTCTATTTGTTAATCTGGATATGTGCAGAAACTGATCTAGTCATCTTTCTCTGTTTTATCTTGGTTCATTTATTTATATTAAGTTTGAGTTTGATTTCGTAAAATTAATTTTATAAAATTGAAATTAAATAACTTATGTTTAGATAGTCTATTTTAAAAATAAATCATTATTAACAACTCAATGTGAACTTTTATTTAATACATAAGTTCCTAAAGTTGTATTTAATTTTTATATTAAGTAAATTTTTAATGCGTAATTGAATATGTGAATAATTACTTAAAATCATATTAATAATTTTTCACATTAACTTTAAATAAATTTTAAATATTAAATTATTGTTTAAAAGTGATTATATTCAAAATACTATCAAACAATAAATATAAATACTCTTAATTTAAATAGTACGAGACATTAAATGCGTGGTGGAAAATTGATGATAGATGCAATTTTTTACATCAGTAAATATTATTAATCCTTTATGTAATAAATTTAAATGTCAAATATATTTTAAATATGTTTTTAACTCCTATCACGAAACTTTTCCCCACAAATAGACCAATTGGAAACTTGTTTATAATTATTTTAAGTCCCCACAAAAGACAAAATACACCAATAGTTCACCACACATGTTTTAAAACTTCAATTTACTATACATGATAGTTAATTTTTGAATTAATTTATTAATTATATTTTCATTAAATAATACATAAAAAAAATAAAAAATAAGAATTATATTACATTTTAGTTAGATGTATAGTTTAAAGTTTATATTTTTAAAAATATAAAAGTGAAAATATAATGAATCATTTTTATATATAATACAAAAATGATATGAAAAAAAATATTTATATTCATATTCATGTTTTTATTATTATTTGTTATTTTTACTGAATGTTTTTAAGAATACAAATGTAGTAAAATTTTGCATGGAGAGTATTTGTTTTTGTTATTATGATATAGTAGTGTTTGATTATGGCTTTGAAGAAATTGACTGTGAATATTAAACTTTAATGTTTTCTCTGATTTAACTTTATTTTAGTAGTGTTAATATTTTATAGAGTTATGACATTTTGGTTGGTGAATAAACCCACAATAAAAACTACAAATTATAAAAAAATTCAAATGTGTGTGCAAAAATAATAACAAAAATTATAACTAAATGTATTATTTTCTAAAAAATTGAACTAAGATGAACTCGGATTATAACTTTCTAAAATATATTTTTAATATTTGAATCTTGGAACTCGTGATAATATTTATATTTCTGTAATTTTTCTGGATGCTGAAATGTCAATGTCCTGACTTCTTCTGATAGTTTGTGCCTCAAAGCTGATAAGATTTTCCAAATCCCACGTCGCAATGATTCGGACGTGGGTCCCACTTTCATACTATCAATTTTTTATTATGTAAAGCAAGAATAATTTTTTTTTTACAAATAATTTATCAGCTTTTTTTTATTTTGAAATATATCGCATATATATAAAAATGATTAAGATGGTAATAAAAAAATACATAGGTTATGTGTATTTAAAGTCTTTAACATTGTTTTTAACTGTAAATCATGTGTAACGATATAAGGGAGTATTTTATAAAATATAATTTAAATATTATTTGGATAAAAATATTACCGTTTAAATTATATATTAAAATAATTTGTATTGTTTTATTATCATTATTTAAATTAAATATTAAGATAATTTTTATTAAAATAAGTAAGAAAGAAAATATTATTATAATTATTATTTCAATTTGAATAATTAAAATTAAAATATTATTAATATTTAATATTTTATAAATAAAATAGGTTTAAGAAGAATAAAGTTTCAATTTCCACATAATATGTTACAAACTTATATCAATTTTAAAGGTAAAATAAATAAATAAAAAGTTACAAACTTATATCAATTTTAAAGGTAAAATAAATAAATAAAAAGTCAATTAATAGGAAGATGAGAGAGTTAAAAAGTAAAAGTAGTGTAGGGAAGAGAAAAATTTGATGTTTTATTGGTTAAATTAAAGAGTTATAAATAGAAAATTTTAACTATTTAAAATTTATTCTTACAAAACCATCATTTCTTTACAATTCTTTTTCTTTTATCTTCTCTTAAATTTATCACTTTTTCTAAATCTAAATATATTTAGTGGTTCTAGCATAAAGAGATCATTTCTACTCAATCAAAATTTCAATAGTGATAAGTTTCGTTTTATCTATTTTAGAGCATTTACATGTAAAGCTAAAGAGTTTGCATGTGGGGCTCAAGGTGTATTTATATGGATTTTATCATATAAAAATAAATCTCAACTAATTTAGGAGTTTTTGGAATCTAACCTCATGTTAGATGAGGTGTTTTTGGAATCAAAGATTGATAAATTGAAGTAAAGGAAGCTAGTAGTAAATTTTTTAGCACCCTAAGGTAAATTATCTGGATTTTAATGATGATTAGGTCACATTATCTGATTTGCATAAAGTCAATTGTGTATTGATATTATTGGTATTTGTATGTGATTGAATGAGTATAATTAGATTTCTTATGTGGAAAATATATGTATGAAATATTAGGGTAGAATAATAATATTTGGATTATGTATAACATGTTTCATAAGGAAATGATGTAATAAAATCTCAAATGACAATGGTTAATGCCTAGAAACTAGTTTAAGGTGTATATTTGCAAATATGTGTTCAAAATTCAAGTGAGTCTAAGTCTAACATTGAGTTAAAAGAGAAAGTTGAACAATATATAAGGAAGATTACCCATATATCCAATGTCTTAAGGTTTTGGATTGAAGGTGGTGTAAATCCTTTATATGGGTTAAATCGATGATTTGTATCTCAAGTGGAATGTATCAATGTGAAAAAACTCACATTTCAGGACTCAAATGTGAGTTTAAGTCTCACATAAAGGAAAAATGAGAAAGTTGATTAACAAAGAAGGAAAAAGACCCATAATAAAAACAAGAATTATTGTAAATGCGATAAATGGTATATATATGACTTAAAATGTTAGAACATATGTTATCAGCATGAAATAATGTGTGTTGAGTATTATTATATGCATAAAAAAATAATTTATTGTAATGTGAGAACTATTATGAGATATCCATATATGTAGGTTATATATGTGATGAATTATAAGATGATGTGGTGATACTTTATGTGTTTTTAATACTGTATATATATATATATATATATATATATATATATATATATATATATAAATAAAAGACTAAGTGAAGCCCAAGATGTTATCCATAATCGACTTAAATGCAAGGTTATGAGTATTTGGGGAGATACTCGTGGTGAAGCATGTAGGGATATTGAATTGAGATTCTAAAGAAGATTATCCTGATTCTACTTGTTAGATATTGTTTAGATATTATTTAATATTGTTAAGATATTGTTAGATATTAACCATAATATCAAACAATATCTTCTGTTTATTCTGTTACTTTCAATTACTCTTTTAGTTGTATCTCTCTACTATAAATAGACTACCCTATGTGTGATTTATACACAAGGGAGATTAATCCCAAACTCTATTTCTTCTATATTCAACATGGTATCTAGAGCTTAAGGTTATTTTGAATTTTTTTTGGCCTTAGACCACTATTGAAGTCGCCACCACCGCCGCTATCGTTGTCGGTTATTTGGTAGTGTGAAAGTGCATGTCTAGGAAAGTTCGACAAGGAAAGACTTGGTATTTAAGCGTGTCCATTAGTGACCCACCTCTCTTTCCGGGAACTTACCAGTGTACTCGGTTCACGCCATTGTCACTATCGCCTTCGCCCTTTATGAGTTCTTCCGCTCCTTTTAGTACTTCCAATTCTGTCAGTACTGCGTCTGATCCTTCCATCTACACTAACTATTTTAATGTGCACTTATCCATTGACAAGTTAACTGGCCCTAATTATGCCATATGGTCATCAG